ACGGGGCTGGGGAGAATTAAACCCTCATTTAAGATCGTCCATGAATGTAGAATTTTAACGGGGCTGGGGAGAATTAAACCCTTATTTAAGATCGTCAAAGAAAGTAGAAGTTTAACACGGGGCTGGGGAGAATTAAAACCTCATTGAAGATCGTCCATGAATGTAGAAGTTTAACGGGGCTGGGAGAATTAAACCCTCATTGAAGATCTTCGATGAATGTAGAAGTTTGACGGGGCTGGGAGAATTAAACCCTCATTGAAGATCGTCCATGAATGTAGAAGTTTAACGGGGCTGGGAGAATTAAACCCTCATTGAAGATCTTCAATGAATGTAGAAGTTTGACGGGGCTGGGAGAATTAAACCCTAATTGAAGATCGTCCATGAATGTAGAAGTTTAACGGGGCTGGATGAATTAAACCCTTTTTGAAGATCTTCGATGAATGTAGAAGTTTAACGGGGCTGGGAGAATTAAACCCTCATTGAAGATCGTCAATGAATGTAGAAGTTTTTAATAAATTTAACGTGCTGGGGAGAATTAAACCCTCATTTAAATCTCCATGAAATGAGAAGTTTACGGGGCTGGGGAGAATTAAACCTTATTTAAGATCGCAAAGAAAGGTAGTAAGTTTAACGGCTGGTGAGAATAAAACCTCATTGGAAAGATCGTCCATGAATGTTAGGTTCAACGGGGCTGTGGATATTAAACCTCATTGAAGATCTCGATGAATGTAGAAGTTTAACGTGGCTGGTAGGAATTAAACCCTCATGAGATCTTCTAATGAATGTAGAAAGTGTAACGGGGCTGGGAGAAATTAAACCCTCATTGAAGATCGTCAATGAATGTAGAGTTTAAACGGGGCTGGGAGAATTAACCCTCATTGAGATCTTCAATGAATGTAGAAGTCATAACATAAAAGTGTCTGGGGAGAGTTAAACCCTCATTGAAGATCGTCAATGAATGTAGAAGTTAAACGAGGCTGGGAATATTAAACCCTCATTGAAGATCGTCAATGAATGTAGAAGTTAAACGGGGCTGGGAGAATTAAACCCTCATTGAAGATCGTCAATGAATGTAGAAGTTTAACGGGGCTGGGAGAATTAAACCCTCATTGAAGATCTTCGATGAATGTAGAAGTTTGAAGGGGCTGGGAGAATTAAACCCTCATTGAAGATCTTCAATGAATGTAGAAGTTTAACGGGCCGAGGTAGTGTTCAGAGGGGGTCGCTGGCTTTATCTTCGAAGATGCAACATATATTCAAAGGGGGTGGCGGGGCTGATGTCTCAAGGTGCAACGTATTGTTCAGAGGGGGTTGGGGAGTTGATGTCTTGTGATGGTGAAGATGCAACATAGTGTTCAGAGGGGGTTCCAGGGCTACTGTCTCAGCTTGTCCGGTGGCTTCTCGGCTTCTCGGTTTCTCGGCTTGTCCGGTGGCTTCTCGGCTTCTCGGCTTCTCGGCTTCTCGGCTTCTCAGCTTCTCGGCTTCTCGGCTTGCCCGGCGGCTTCTCGGCTTCGCGGCTTCTCGGCTTCTCGGCTTCTCGGCTTGCCCGGCGGCTCCTCGGCTTCTCGGCTTCTCGGCTTGTCCGGTGGCTTCTCGGCTTCTCGGCTTCTCGGCTTCTCGGCTTGTGCCGGGCTTCTCGGCTTCTCGGCTTGTGCCGGGCTTCTCGGCTTCTCGGCTTCTCGGCTTCTCGGCTTGTGTCGTACTTCGCGGCTTCTCGGCTTCTCGGCTTCTCGGCTTCTCGGCTTGTGTCGGGCTTCTCGGCTTCTCGGCTTCTCGGCTTCTGGTCGCATTTCTGGGCCCCTTTTGCCCGTGCTTTGGAAAAGCACGTAGGTGCACCCAGCAGAACCATGGGCTCAAGACCTTAGCCACACGCTGGCCACTCATACTCAGATCATCTTCTGGAGAAAGTTCCGCCGGAAGAGAGAATGGAGGCACAGCTTCAAGTAAACAGATCTTCGCAAAGTCATCATCCGATGGTGACTCTGGTAGGGTCAGTGCGATTTCAGGCGGATGTGTCCAAGAGTATGCCGATGTGACCTCCTTCAATCCAACTTGAAAGCCAGGGTGTCCTTCGACAGAAGACATAGGCTGATCTTGGCCGGTGGGGATTTCAAAGCCGGCCGGTGTCTCAGGACTAGGCTCGGAAACGCCATTCCCGGCGGCCGTAAGACCAAGCACAATGGGGCAATAAAAGGACTTGTCGGGAGAGTCACATGTCGACTCGAAGGCCTGTTCCAGTCCATCCTGAATTGATCTGATCCGAAGAAATCTGGGCTCAAAGTCGAGCACTGCTTTGTCATCGCCAGGTTGAAAGTTGACCGCGGTGGTGCACTCCGGGGTCAAAGCATGTGCAGGCATTGCATCGACGCCAGCAGGGCTTGGAACGACGTCAGCAGAACACCGAGAGTGCCATGGCTCGATCGCGTGCTCTGAGAGTTCGAACCTCTGAAAAGCCAAACAAAAACCATGCGAGACCTGAGCAAAGGCAGGACCAGCAGACAGACCTGACTCAGCCATGGCAAAATCCTCATGGTGAGCAGTCAGCTCAACGGGACCTGAAAAAGTTGAACCATATGGTGAGGATACCGGAAGGGCCAAAGAGGGGCCACGCTCAACTTCCATGACCTGAACACCATCGGAGCGTGATGGCCAAGACGAGAATGAAGTATAAAAACCGTGGCCTAACCGCAAGGAATCCATGTACCCAACCAGGGGTACAGGGACAGCCAAAGATCACCTGACCGCAGAATCAGAAAGGATTCTCATAGGGAAGTCTTCATCCCTCCTACTTGCAAGCGCCTGCCACCAGACCCGAAGGGCGCCAACGGAGCACAACCCACTGAACAACCGCAAAGCACGGGCAAATTCAGTGGGGAAAGTCAACGAGTCCGGAAACCCACTCATTTTCCATCAGAAGGAACTGAAACGACCCAGGGGAACAGAACAGAGAGAATGGGGCCACAGAGGGACCAAAGACACACTTCTCGAACTCTCAGAGCAGTCCCGCCTACCCACGCGGAGGGGGTTCGAGCCAAGGCTAACCCTTCTTCAACATACTTTTCACCCATTTACTTTTCACCCAGAGACTCTTCTTGCACATACTTTTCACCCATATACTTTTTACCCAGAGACTCTTCACCCAGAAACTCTTCTTGCACATACTTTTCACCAATATACTTTTC